GCAGTGATAACCCTTTAGTCTTTTTTTTTTCTCTTTATTAACAATTTGGCACAATCCCAGTATGTCAATCACACACACCTGGAATTAAAAATAACATGTCGCCAATTCCAAGTTTTTCTGGCAACACAATCTGAATGCACAAACATTTTATTTTAGAGATTATTATTTTATAATCAATAGTACTCAATAGATTGTGGCTTGTGAATTAATGAGTACTATGCATGAGATCTAATTAAAATAGGCTATTAAAAAAAAAATTGATGACTATTTATAAACTCATTATTATATGCATTATGTATTTGATATAACAGGATTTCCTAATGTAATGTAGGTTGAAACTTTTTCAATGATTTCATAGCCTGGACTTGTTTTTTGTTTTTTTTTTTCTTTTTAAATAGGGGGCCTTATTCAAATGAAAATTAACACTTGATTATCAGCATTAGTTGATTTAAATATTTAGACCTAGATATTTAGTTTGCTACAAAATTCAAATACATGAACATATAGCATAGGAAAACTATGTTGGTCCAATCATCAGTACTCGGTTTTGGATATGACACTTGAGCTTAGATAAGACAAAAACAAAATAGAATTTTTTTTTTTCTTATTAGGCAGATCCTCTTAAAAATCTCAACATATTCAATTTCAGAATGCCTTCCAAAAAGCGATGCTTAGCAAGTTAGTCACACAGAATATTCACTTGTGTAAGGAGTTTGATTCTCACTACATGCTTTACTATTAACAGCTAAGCTTAGTAAATATTTAAAGCCTCAGCTATAAAGCTATGCAAATTATTTCTAGACTCACCTGTAATAGAACACTTTAAAAATATTAAGTTTTTATAAACAATTTTTGATTTAACCAGGATGATAGTTTTTTGGGTTTTTTTTATTTACTTCTTTCAATTAATTCACTAGTTTTCATACAGTCCTGTTCAACACAAACTGGTAGCAAAGGTCATAGAACATAGTCATTAAAACACTAAGTTAATCTGAGCAGACTTGTATGCAGTGCAATTAAACAAATTTCCTACTGGAATAATGAAACTGTTAATGCTGTGTACCCATTCAAATAGAATTAACCCTTCTAGATTATGTTTCTGTTGCCACATAGCATCTTTAAACATAATTTTTCTGCATGCAACAATTCTCTATTAATTACATAGGTCACACATTATACAGTGAAAATTTCAGATCAAAATTCAGTTAATAACTGTAACAATACAAATATATTTATACAACCTTGTATATTCATATAAAAGGCTAGTATGTATATTTCTTTTTAGCCATTATCTTCCATACATATCTATATAATTTTTGCCTCTTAATCTGTAACCCGCTATCTCGAGTGGCCCATTGGGCCTTGGGTAGGATGAATATTATTGTTAAAAAATATATTTTTAAAAGCTTAAATTTTACTAACTCATAAAGTTTGAAATCCAGATCTGAATTATCATTAGAAGAAGTTTAAAAACCACAGGCTACATTGCCATTTCTCTAATAAATATTCCATTTGTTTGTTTTTATGCTTTTATCAATCAAACTTAATACATAAGTCAACTGAAATAAATACGTACATCATGTATCCATTAAAGATATTATTTAAATGCCTGGAGAATGTTTATCTTACATTATTATAATATTGATGCTTTCTTAGAGTTGAATGCTTCACTTTTGTGTTTCAATGTCATATATCATTTACTCTATTTTTAAATACCATGTCCCTTCAGCTCTTCACATACATTCTTTTATTATCTGTAAATTGCACTGACTTCTTGAGAATGATAATGGTGTGACTTTCTATTACTGTCTCTATAGTTTTAATTCACTCAAGGCTAGAGACCCCAGTCTACTCTGCTTTTCAACCCATAATGGGGGGGCATGTGGATCTCATGCATTATGAAGAGTGTTTGTGTGGAAGTAAATACAATAGACTCTCCCAGAATTTGAATTTGGCTCATCGATTCCACTTTCTGTGCTAGTAATCATTAGCCTACCCACACATATCATTACTAAACTTAAAGTAATTTGGAAGTTGACTTTTCTTTTTCTTTCTACATTTTACTTGAAAATACAAGATAATACTGCTTTTTAACTCAAATGTTGGTCTGTTATTATTAGGATTGGGCGATTTTGTACCTTTGTATGCAATTTTGGACAATTTTTTAGCAAATAAAAAACTAAAACAAAACATTAATCAACTTTTACATACAATTTAAGAAATTATAGATGTTTTTTCCCCCCATAATAAAGAGGCTGAACTTTGAAATAGTCAATTTTTATCAAAAAAAATTTTTTTCTAATAATCTTCATCATGTACATGGCCCAAAAGCCACTATATATGATTTTGTTTGAAATCCCCTAGCACGATCATATTTTGGCAGATATCCTTGTCTGTCCATTAATAAAAAGTAAAATGAGGTATTTATGGTACTCAACATTTACTTATTTTGAAAATATTTTTGGAGCATTTATGGTGCTGAGAAAATGGTGAAAAGTTGTCATCACTTTCTTTGTTATATTGATTTATTTATTTTTCTATGTTGTATTTATTTATTTTTTCATGTTGCATTTATTTTACCATTCTGATGAGTGGCAATAGAATATTCACACAGCATAAGGCTATTGATCCTGTATACAGTAAGACAAAAATGTTCCCCTTGGATTCACACTGAAAATGATTTATTAGATTTTCACATGAGAAAGAATGAAGGTGAAGGAAACTAAGAGATTCATATTGTACTTCAAAATGTGGTGCAAAATTTGTGTAACAGTTTTCTTTTACTACTATAATAATTTAAAATAGTAATAAGGACACATCAGGAGATAATAAGCAGTGTAAAATTGTATAATTATAATATTGGCTTAATAATTTTAGTCAGAATTTATTTATTGTTGCTATTATAGCAATAATTCTGGTCAAGTGATTTAATTAGACACAATGTAAAAACTAATTAGGTATGCACCACTATAATAAAAATGTTTTTCTTATTTTGGACACGATTTTTTTTCCTTTATCTCTTTAAGGCATACATGATCATAGTCCTATACAGCTTCCTTTTCTTTTAATATACATGACATTTTAAGAAAGATAGTGGAGTGGTTTTCTGTTGTCTTCTCTATGGTTTGCAATTCAAAGTTCTCCTTCTCTGAGACTGGCTGCCCACTTCAACTATTCAAATAAAGGAAAAAAGAAAAGTACATATGTATATGTGATATATGTATTCAGCTGATTGGAGTAAAATAGCCTATCAGGGCTGATACACCATTAAACCAAACCTAGACTGGCTGCCATCCAAGATGCTAGTCTACTTTGCTGTATAACCCATAACTGGAAGTACAGGAGAGATTGGTTCATGCCTTACCTTTGAAAGGACATTTGTGCAAAAGTGAATATAACAATAGGCTAGAGTTTGAAAAGTGGCTGTTCCAATGAGATCAAATTACAGAAGTTTAGCCTTGCTCAATTTTCACCCTGTACCCTAAGAAGTCATATCAAGAATTCAAATGCATTCAATTTACAAAATATTGAAAATAAATTGAACCTAAAAAAAAAATGCTTATACCTTTTAAAATTAAATTGATTCATTATGTTTACCAAGATTTAAATGTAAATGTCTTAAACCTCTGCCTCTTTCCCCTCTGCCACCCCACTCCCAATAGTTCCTCAAAAAGAAAAGCTATTCTTCTGATCACTGGTATTTCTGGTGAATTGTATTGATTTACGGTTCTATTTTTGTTACTTCATTCTCTTTCCTTTTAATTATTGATTCTTTCAATCTACCATATATTGATTTTTTTGTTGTTTCACTTCTCTTCTTTTTTATTTTCTTTTTGTTAAGGATAAAGAAGAAAAGAAAATAATTTTTTGAAATGTTCTCATTTGCTGCTCATGCTTAAATCAAAATTATTCATTGGTGAAAATTCCTAATTCTAGTGTGATCTTTTTTTTCTATTTTGTAAAATTTCCTTTGCAGATTTGTTAAAGACATTGCATCTTTTTTTCATCTTGACTTATTCTCAAAAAATTGGTCACCATCTTAAAAAAAAAATCTTTTTAAACTTTATAATTTGTGGGTTTGTTTGACCCTTAGAATTTTTCCTCACTTTTTCAAACTCTCTTATTCTTATGGCTCTAATTTAATTTACATAGAATTGCTTGCTCATGTTTAAATATATCCTCTCTTCTGTAGTTTAATGAAAGTTAAGAAAAAGACAGTCTTGTTTGTTGCAGATTTACCAGTTACGAAAAAGAAAACATTAAATAGTAAGATGTTTGGAAATTTATCATCTGTATACTTTCTGAAAGATTATTTTATTACAAGTTTATTATATAACTTATGATGTCACAGGTTGGATTTATTAAATATATCAAAATTTTATTCATTCTTGTGTTAAGACAGTAAGACAATAATCAGTTGTATTTTAGTGCTAATTGCATTTGAATTTGGTACACATAAGCCAAGTCTTGGTTTGGTTTATCACTGCCCCCTCAACTTTACCACTACTCCATCACTTTTTAGCATTTGTTACAAATGTATTAGCAAATTAAATATTTTTTGAGGTAGAAAAAATGATTGGATGTTTAAGTCAAAATCAAAATAAGAGCTTGCCATTGGTCAAAAATTAAGGCAAGCATCACTGTTAGAAGAATCATTCTAGGTATTGTTCTAAATCAGTTGTAGATAATGTCACCATAAAAGGTTTTGTGTATACCTCTGATTAACTTATGCTAGAAAGAAGTAGAAAAATTTGTTAAATTATGTTGTCCATTTAAAAAAAAAAAAATTCAGTACCTCATCACAAAGTGGAATTTAATGATATGTGTATAATAGGTAAGACATTTTCTATATATTTGTTAATGGAAGTGTGAAAAAGGAGGGTTGTCACTGGTTAGGAATTAAAGCGGCAGAATAATATGACTGTTGTATTTTATGACTATTAAATTCTATTTAAATGATGTCTTATAAATTTCTTTGGCTTTGCTTAATGACATTTCAGTTTGCTTCACTCCAAAGTGTCACGATGCCGTTGGATTGGCTATTTGGGCACAGGAAGACACCTGAAGAAATGCTTCGGCAGAACCAGAGAGCGTTGAATAAAGCTATGCGAGACTTGGACCGGGAGAGAAACAAGCTAGAAGGGGATGAGAAGAAAGTCATTAACAATATAAAGAAGATGGCCAAAGAAGGACAAATGGTAAGTTATTTTTGTTAGTCTTATAAACAAAGTAAATAGCTTTCTCTTGGAAAATTACATCTGTTACATATGCACACGCAGCACTTGCTATATAATGCAAATAGTTTCCTCAAAAAGAAAAGATTTATAATAGCTGAATTTCTTTATTTCCTGGTTAACATAAATGTTGGCTAACTTGATACATGAATAGGTTGGACAATGTGTTCAAATTTCCTGAACTTTTGCAGTAATTCTCAATGTGGGCCCTTAAGCCCAAAAGTGGACATGAGAAATATTTTAAATGAGCCTGGAGGCATCAAAAGCAGTGTTGTCATTAGTCACAATTTAAATTTTTTACTACATTTTGCTCTTTAAATAAAATGTATTTCCTGTTACATGGAATTTTTAGTTGAGCTTATGTGGGCCTAAAATAAGAGGTGGAAGTATTGTGAGTTTTTTTTTATATTAACATAAACCAAAAATAACATATTTCCTCAAATAACCCTAAACATATCAACCTAATATAGCATAATCAAATGTATTCTAACTATAAACAAGATGAAAAAGTCCTAAAAAATCTTATAAGTACTAATATATTCCCCACTAATCCCAGTAAAAAAAATAAAACTAATTATATGTTTAACATAACCAACTTAATCATATGCAATAATTCTTTTTTATCAACTAGTGTTTTGAAAAACCTAACATTGCATTAGTTTAAATGTCCTTTGGGAGATTGTATCTCTGACAAAAAAGTAAGTACATATGTTGGTTTGACAACCACAACATTATCAAGGCGTCTTGTACTTCATTTGTCAAATACAACTTTTATTGCACAACATCTAAAAACCTATTCCTGTCCCCCTTCACAATACAGGAAAATACTTGTTGACAACACCAATTTGAAGGTTTTGTTTATTATTTTTGTGGTGTAGTATACACAAAAATAATAAACAAAACCTTCAAATTCTCGAGCCCCTCTATATCAAAATCAATGAACCAACACTAAATAAAATTTATTATCAATATAGCAACAATATATTAAAATGCATATAACATTTAATGCCATTTTACATTTCTTTTTCTCCCTTATATTGAAATACTTAGCAAAAAATTCTATTGTTACAATTTTAAATAGCTTTAAAAATAATATACAGAATGCGTTCATGCATGTATTTAAAAATCACCATCACAACAGAATGCAGATTTTATCACAGTTATAAGTTTGTCTTTATTATTTACCCCTGAAGATGATTTTGGAAAAGATTGAAAACACTTGGATTAACAAATACTACAATGCCTTCCTTGATGAATTTCATCTTAACATCAAGAAACTGATTAAACAACTGGAAAGGATCAGTGTAAAAATTAGTAGACACAATATGTCTATATTATTCAATGAAACATGTACACGTGTGTGTCTAGAAAACTGGAAGTCAAAATGGCTATTGAAAGAAAAGAGAGAGAAAAGGTTAAGGAGTGAGTGTAAAGTGAAAAAAAATGATGAAAAGGACAAATAACCACAACATTCTACACATATGCACACACATGTGAATACATACACACAAACTATAGAAAAAAAACTTGCACCAATGAAAAGTGCATATAAAAAAAAAAAAAAAGAAAAATCAAAAAGTATAAGCAGTTCGTTGCTGATACCCCTGACAAGTAGGGTCTGTCTACGAAAGTCTGGATGCTGAAGGTAACATCAGTCAAACCTTTTACTTGTATTAATTATATATATATATACACACACACACAATCTTAACAACATGAGATATACAAATGATACAGTGTTGATAGCAGACACAGAGAGGAAACTACAAGAACTCCTACATCTTAATCTCCACATCTTTCTATTTCTATTAAATTAGAATTAAGTAACATAAAACAAATACTTATCGATAACGGTTTCACTAATTAAATTGTTGACTACCAAATTAGATATTCTTACACAATAATTTTAATATAAACATCAATTAGAAAAGCAATGAAAAAGCAATAAAAAGGATAATACATAGATATATTAAACCTGTAGAAAAAGCACCAATCGCCTATGTAAGACTTAATGGTGTTTATGAATTTATTTATCCAATTGGAGATTGTATCTTTGTAAACAAACAATATAGGTCTTGTGTAGGTTACACAACAACCACTCTTTCCTAAAGACTTATTAGAACAAAGTCTTATTAAACAGCACATTAATAACAACTATAGAAACATTAGACAGAAAAAGAATACATAGATTCAATAGCAAAAAAGGATGGAAAATTATTGAAGCCATTTAGATGCATGCATTAATAAAAATAACTAGTCTCTAATGTATGTTCATTGTATATAAAAAGTACAAAAAAAAAACATGTCATTACACATATTCCAGGCTCATTGTCTTGTGACAAATGGCAGATGGGACTTCCTTTGTTTTGGATTTGCAAAGGATCATTTACAATTTTGAGAGGAAAATGAATAAACTCAATAGACACAAAATATATATATATCAGGAGGTCACAACAGGAAGAAGGATCATCATTTCAACTTAGAGACGATCCAACTCAGTCCATAAGATGTTTTGGATGTAGGACAGGAGTTTCAGCTATGTCAGTCCAAAGAACAGTGAAAAAAGGCTTGAAAATGAAATTGTACATGAAACCTTTGAGGCACCTTGTTACTCCAGGACAGAAAGATAGGTTAGAGAGAGTGAAGATCATCTTGAATAAGTTGGAAAATTATTCTGGAATAATATATATATATATATATATATATATATATATATATATATATATATATAATGATTTTTTATTATAAATTTTATTATGACAAAAAGAAAAAAGCATTTTCATGATTAAGTTTTGCTCTTGTAAAAATATCCACTTTTAGCCTTGATTACTGCAGCTCAAATTTTTGGCATTTGTTGCAAAAGTTTCTCAGTGTATAAGTTTGATAATTATTCCATTCTTTTTTCAATGACTCTGTTGTCATTTTTTTTTTCCACTCTTCTGTCAAGTTCATCAAGTTCTATGCTAATTCTGGGGATGGCTTCATACTTTTCAACTGTAGTGTGTATGTGTGTGTGTGTCCACACATTCTTTAGACAGTTTCAAAAAGTTATGAAAAACTTAAAAAGAGGTGGCAACTAGATTTTTGTTGTATATTAATATGTTGTTATTTATGTTCTTTTAATGATTTTAATAGTTTTATTAATGTTGTTTTTATGTTTCAGACTGCAATTAAAGAATTAAAAATTGACTATCACATAGATGTCCTTTGTGCAATGAATAGGGCCCCCAGATAGAAATTTATTAACTATTTGTATATAAACTTCACTATTTACATAAACATATTATATAAGCATTTCAATAATATCCAGTTTTCATTGTAATTTTAATAGATTTTTCTAACGAGTTTGTGGACAGTCTGTATATCTGGCATTATTTCTTATGACTTTAAATGTTATATTTAGTGGATACATGTATTTGAGTTGACATTCTTGTCTTTTAGACAGTGTAACTCTATATGTACCAGACTGTGCATTCAAGAGTCTTTTATAATGAAAAGGTCACCTCTTAATTGCTGCGGTTCTCTGACCTGAGGTGGTAGCACATGTCAGGGTCTCAGCTATAGACAAATAGTTAACCAACAAACTGGTGTCAAAACACTATGAAACTGTAAAAATAGGTTTTTTATAGTAAAAATACTAGCAATACATTTTTGAAAAGAAAAACATTATCAGCAACACATTTTTGAAAAAAAAAAAAAAAAAAAAAATTACCAGCAATAAAAATCTTGTCAACATTGAATAAGCCATTCAGGTTGATATGCCGTAAAACAAACCAAACCCTTATAAAGGAAAGGTGCTCTCCAGCAGGGTTTAAACCTGCATCCCCTTTTTCTTTACTAAGACTCTTGAATAGAGGCCAGGAAGCATAGATTTACACTGCTTAAAAATCAGGGAAGTCTTTTCTAATATATATATATATATATATATATATATATAAGAACTGTTAGGTTAATAATCCAAAGTTCTTTAGTATTTTTGTTTTTAAACAGTGCTCAATACATAAGTAGAGCCTAAATTATAATTATTTTTTTAAAATATGATTCCATTGCTACATAAGAGTTCTCATGTTTCAAAAATAAAAGCTAAAAAACTAGCTCTGTTTTATCCTATAGGTACCTCCACGAGATCGCTAAAAAAAGAGCATAGCATGATGAAAAAGACGCCAAACTTGACGAAAACAAAATTTTATCGTCTAAATGTTTGTTATTATTAAGAGGAAAGGTCAAAGTATTTTGGGGGTATTTTTTTTCATTTTTTAATCGTTCCTAGCACGTCCGAAATTTTCGTTAAAAATCTAGTTTTTTTTGAGTCAGCAAAATTGACCATTTTTTTCCATTTAAAAAAAAAAATGGAAATCTGACTTTGAAATTTTTTTAAATATCAATTATCATTTTTTCAAAACTTATTTTAAGAAAATCAGAAATTATAATGTTTATTTAAAATATTTTTGAACCAAACTTAACTTAGCTTTTTGTGCCAAAAAAGATGTAATTTGAAAATAAAACAAAGCAGGTCATAAACTTTTTTCGCGTCTCTTGACATGTGATGAATGATATATTTAAAGAATTCCATGAGGCTAATTTGTTCTCGGAAGGAGAAAAGTGAAATAATTTACATTTACCTGAACAAATTATTTACCCGTTATTTTTAACGAAAACTTTCAGCGGTCTAATTTTTTTTTTTTTTTTTGTACTTAGCTTTCACCTTTTACGTTTATAATGCTTTATGGGAAATATATTGTAAAGAAATTAAAATAAAACTGCTAAGAGTGACATTAAATTTCATATTTCTTAAGAAAGGTATCTAATTAATTTATAGGTACCTTTCTTATGAAATTTTATCAGAATTGTACATAAAATACTATAATTTTATGTTAATTTATTACATTCTACTGTTATTTGTATTTGCATTCATTTTATTATTAATTTTGATATTTCATTTATGGAAAAATGTCGTAACTGAG